AGGAGGAGGAAGCGGCTGTTCACAGGCCTTCATGTGGCCCCAGGCTAACTGGACCCCTCTGGGGTTCCTTGGCACTCTGCTATGCCCAGACCCTTTGCTGGGCGTCTCTGGTCCCAGGCTCTTCACTGGGCCTCACTATGACTGTGCCACTGCAAGGCACCTAAAGCTTTAGGGGCTAAATGTGTGGCTCCAATCCTGCCCTACACCACACCTCAAGCCTTGCAGGTGTTACTATAATGATGTTTGGCTCTTGTGGGCACTGGGCCCTTGGCCCTTATATGCCAGACCCCCAAGTTCCTGTCTGGCCATGCCCCTCACAGACACTGGGCCCCTGGTTCATCTGGTTGAGCCCTTCATAGGCACCAGGCTCCTGGTCCCTGCTTGTCTGCACCCCTCCTTGGGTGCCAATAGTCATTCAGGCCTTGTGTTTACCCCTGGTATGGCTCAAGGCGATTGCATTCCCCTCAGGCACTACTGAGACCTCCATATACCGCATCTCCCAGGGCTCTGCCCCCTTCCGGTCAGCAGGCTGCCTGCAGGTGCCTGTTAATTGCCTCATTTGTCCTGCTGCCCTGCCACCCAGAAGCCGCTGCACCCTGCCTAGCCTGCAGTGTTCCCTGGCTGGGCTGCTTTTAAAGTAAAAGAACAGGGAGCCCCAGGCTCTCTGTTATAGCCCTAAATGCTAGAAAGCCAGGAAATTTTCTTTCCTCATTTACTTTTCATGAACTATATTCAGACTAACTCTTCATGAAGAAAAAAAAAGATACACTGGAAAAGGGTAGAAAGGAAAATTTAAGAGACTGAGGTTTCTACCTCAGACACAAGAGAGAGAGACAGAAATTGCCCTAGTTCCTACAGACATTACATGGACTCTGCACTGTGCTTCTCTATTTCCTTGTTTACCATAAAGTGAATATTTTTATGCTAGCTAACAATGCCAATACCAACGGTTATAAAAAAAAGATTAGGTAGGGAGGTGCATATCCAAATGTGCATTGTGATTAGGCTCTGATTTTTAAGAGCTCTTGAAGTCTACATTTCAAGGTTCAAGGACATCAAACTCCTGTTCCAATGAAATTCTGACTCAATCCAGACTGTACCTATGTAACAGGTCTCTTCCAATTTTGGATACAATCTGAAGCCTAAATTGTAGATAGGTGTTTACATTTGGGGATTAAAATCTGAATCGCCACCAGTTTAAAGGGGTCAAGATGCTTCAAGTTTTGAGCCATCTCTAGATGTTATAACACATGATGCTAATTCAAGCACATTTCACCAACCTCACTTTGAATCTTTTGAACCTCCTTTGAAACCTGATAAATTGGTGTATCCACAAACTCCAGCATTGATTTGCCTTTTGATTTTTCATAATCCTCTTTGTATTTCACCTAAGAAAAGAAAAATAATTTAATATTATAACAGATGAGAAAATGTGATGATTGTAAACTTGGTATGGCCAAACTCTGGCCTTGACAAGTCCCTTCTCAGAAGCCTTGACTTAGATAATTTCTGTTGGAAAAGCAGGACAAACAGATCAAAGACGGTTTTCTGCTGCAGCGTATGCTCTTGCTTCAATTATCTAGACCAGAACTGTAGCGAAAATAGATACTTTTCTCTATGTTTCTTT